GGCCAGCCACCCAACACCCACACATCCCAGTGGCCGGCCACGATTCTCCTCCCTAGCCGCCACCTCCACAACTGGGGGATGGGAGAAATGGGGCATCTCGCTCCTTCTCGGTGTGAGGTAGTGCCAGGACAGCGAGAAGAACCACAGTCAGTCACTTCAATACTGGCGGCTCATCGTCTGGCCGGCAGGCAGCACAATGCCGCGAGTGACTGACGTCAGTGCCGAACGAAGTCAGCAGGTTGCGGACCATGATCAGTAGGGACCTCCTGCCGGCCACACGCTCGAGGAAGTCATGATACTTGGAGCCATCTACAGACGACTTGCACCACAGACAGACAGACAGACACGAGCCTTGATCTGCACTGAGTGCGCGTTTGTGTTGGTTTGTGTTGGTTTGTCTTTCGCCCATCGCATGGCCCGCTGCCGCTGTCCGCCGGTACATGTACTTCCATGCCGATGAAGAGGCCGCCATCCACAGCGAGCAGAGGCGACTGACCTGATGATGACTCATTCATTTCGCCCGCTCACCTACAGGCTTCTGTTTCCGCCTCATAATCACTGAGCCTAAACCAGCAGGGAAGCGCGGGAGTTTCATTGTGGGGGCAGTGCGAGCTGAAGGACGAGATTGCAGGAGCTGCAAAGCGCGGTGCGCGCGCAGGACGGCAGCAGCACCAGCGGCTGCAGCAGCAGTAGCAGCAGTAGCAGCAGCAACAGCGACTCGAGAACAGCGACGGCCAACAGCGAGGAGCAGCAGGAGCGGGAGATGGAGCTGCTGGGCCAGCTCAGCCCCGAGGAGCAGGCCGCTATCTACGGGAAGGAGCGCGAGGTCAACAAAGGCGACGCTGCAGTGAGATGGATGTGCGCAAATGACATACACGTGCATCCCCACACTGACACCCTGGTCTGGTCTCCCCCTGTCTGTCGGTCTTGTCAGCTGGATGCGAGGCTCGCCAGCCGCACCCAGGAGCTGACTCTGCAGTACCAGGGCGTGGCCAACACCGAGGTGGGTGGGAGGGTGGGCTGAGTGTCACATAGACAGATGCGGGCAAGGGTGGACGGCCTCACTGGCTCACTCGTGAGTACATCTGTGTGTGTGTGTGTGCGTGTGTGTGTGCAGGAGGAGGATGGGGAGGAGGACGATGGGCAGGTGCCCGAGTGGTTGGATGAGCCCCTCCCACAGCACACCTCGCTGCCGGTAGGCAAGGCACCCCACAATCAAAAGACCGACGTGTGACATACACACGTGTGTGTGTGCGTGTGTGTGTGCACATCTTGGTGGTTTCTACCAGTTGGCCACCCAGCCGCAGCAGCAGCCCCAAAGCTTCTCCCGCTAGTCCATCCGTCGATGCCCGTCCGCCTGTTTGTCCGCCTCGCTGTCCGTCCATCCCGTGTTGCGTGTCCGCCCACACCCCCGTGTACTCGACTGCCATGGCTGCCGACACTCCACCTGTCTGCCCACCTTTCCGACTCTTCGACTGCTCCAACCACGCCGCCACTCCCCCATTCTTACCCTCCCTGCCCCGTCGAGCACTCAAGGCGACCCTCATGACACACCAGCAGCAGCAAGCGGCCCCCCCGCAGCTACTGGAGCGGAAGGTGTTTCAAGATGCTCTCGCGGCGGGCCTCCCTCGGCCAACGACTTGGCCTACAGGAAGGCGATGGCCAACCTGGGGGACCTGCTAGGCAAGCTCCTCGCCCTGGTCGACCACCACGCCGCCGCCCCCTTCACCAGCCGCCTCCCTGGCATGCTCGAGACGGCCTGCAGGGATGGCCACCTCCTGACGCTGCTGCCCGTCGTGTGCGGCATCCTGCGGCAGCTCTCGGCCAGTGGGGTGGAAGGTGATGGCGATGTGCAGACCGCTCTGAGCATGCTCAAGGACATCGGAGACCTGCCGAACATCCGGCTGCAGCTGCAGTTCAACGTTGTCCGGCTCTTCAAGGAGCTCCAGCTCGACATCGACAGCCTGCAGACCACAGGGCGGGTCAGCACCACGGCCATGGCGGCGTCAGAAGTAAGGCACCACCACCCGCCCACATGACGTGCCTCATGGGTGTGTCGTGTCCCTTGTGTGTGTTTCGTGTGTGTGTCGTGTGTCCTATCTATTTGTGTGTGTCAGGTCCAAGAGCAATCTTGAAGGCCGCGGCTGAGCTGAGGAGGGCAAGTGAAGACCCACACCACAGCACACTCACTACACCCACCGCTATGCCGCCACCACGTGTGTGCTGCCTGCGTGCCTGTGATCGGAGGGGAGGAGGGGTCACAACACAATGAGCTGCTGCTGCTGCTGCTGATCTGCCTACCATCACCATATACCATATCATCACACCACTACACTGACTGCACCCACTACTATCTGACGATGAGCGGGCGAGCGACAGAGAGCGAGGGGGTGCGGTGCAATGGACTGGCTGACCGTCGGCGACATGTCACGGGTGGTCTGCTGCGACTGACCATCCCACCACAACACACACAACACACAACCTTTTGGTGCCACTGGGCGCCACCACGTGACTTGACTATCGTGGCCCACAGCCAGAGAGGTAGAGAGACAGACAGGTCATCGATGGGTGTGTTTATGGGGGGTTGTGTGTGTGGATGGGTCGGTTGGCTGGGCTGCAATTCACTCATTACCTTTTTGTCGATGGATGCTTGCCGCCTAGGATCTCCGAGTCGTGACAGCCACCGACACGGCCGTGGCTTCGAGGCGACAGATTGCATTGGCGAGGGTGGGTGTGGCGTTCAGTGTTTTGATGGGTGGCAGAGTTGGCTGGTCCTTTTTTGTGGGTGTGTGGTTCTGTACAGAAGGTTCTGTAGACGTCATGGAATCTAGGGGCATCTAGTGAGCGATAGATCCCAAGGTGCGAGCTGAAGGACGAGCTTACAGGAGGGAGCCGAAAGGCGAAGAAGAGGAGACGGCAGCAGCAGTAGTAGCAGCAGCAGCACCAGCAGCAGCAGCAACAGCGACGACCATTGGCGCCTCTGGCAGCAAGAACCAGGAGCTGACGGCCGAGAGCCACCCGCACCGCCTCCTCCAGGACTTCTACGACGAGTGCATCAGCAGGAAGGCCTCCGCCCCGGCCTTCTGCTGCCCTTTCAGCTGCTGTGGCAGCCCCGCGCTCGTTGAGAAGGCGCCGCTCGACAATTTCAAGACCTTCCTATTCGCCCTCAGCAACGCCCCGGGCTGCGCCACCTGCAAGGTACGTTCGTGTGCGCAGAGCAAAGAGCAGCAACTTGAAGGGAATGAACTCGCCGTCTGGCATCATGTCTGTCTGTCTGTCTGTCATGTGTTGGTTTGCTGTGTGTGCGTGTCGTGTTGCCTGGCTGCAGGGCAGGGAGGCTGCTCATCTGGTGACGGAGGACAACATCAGCCACCTGGCCTTCATGGTGGTCGAGAGGGCGGCGACGGCCGAGAGGGACGAGGACCGCAGCACCCTCGCCACATTCATCGCCGCCATCGACACCCTCCAGCCCGTCCCATTCGCCACCCTCAAGAGCAGCCGCGTGGTGATGGCCGCCATCGACCACCTGTCCGCCTACGCCACCAGCAGCCCCACCGCCGAGGACTTGGCCTACAGGAAGGCCATGGCCAACCTGGGGGACCTGCTAGGCAAGCTCCTCGCCCTGGTCGACCACCACGCCGCCGCCCCCTTCACCAGCCGCCTCCCTGGCATGCTCGAGAGGGCCTGCAGGGACGGCCACCTCCTGACGCTGCTGCCCGTCGTGTGCGGCATCCTGCGGCAGCTCTCGGCCAGTGGGGT